TTGGTACAATTATAACTAGGTACTTAAGTAGTTTACTAACACAAGTCCTTGAGAAACTAGTTGTACGGCTCGCTCTAAAATGTAGTCGTATGAAGTGATTTTTCATTGAGTTTTAGTAATTGATAATTATGGTGGTCGACGTATCTAACTAAAGTATAGTTTATACAGTTCTCTAATCTGAATTTTGTCAAAAGCACTGTATAAAAACGTCATGTAGTGCTAATTCAACAAATACCTACTCGCTAAAACCATGAACGAGTGCAATGACTGATAAACGTGTCATCTATCAACAAAGTAAAGATTAGGTAGGTAGGTATATCATACTCGGTTTATTATCATTAGGTACCAAAATAATTAAGATTTAATTATTAAATAACCAATTTTTAATTATTTTCTTTTGGTACAAAACAAACTAAGTAATGTATAAATATTTTATATGTATATTTTTTTTTTTAAAACTTTGCCCCACACTGTATCACATTTACATATGAGTTAATCAATACCAGAATGGAAAAATAATTTAGGACTTGACGTCTATCTTTCTATGTATAATACCAACTTTTCCCGCCTAAACAGGATAACGGGATCGAAAATTGGGCACACACCTTACTCCCCAAGCAGAAAAGAGAAGGGTACAAATAGGGTGAGAAAAAGAGATAGCCATACAGGATCGAAAGAGGGGTGAATCAACCCCAAATACATGGCAGCGCCGCCGCTCCCTTTCGAACTTTACGCGAGCGTGTTTTGAGTTTAGCCAGTAGATAAACAGTACCAACTCTGTCTACAGTTTAATAATATTTGGAAAAATTACTGAGTTCGTATAGGTTCCTACCACTCAGTGTGTATGAATTAATTCGTAACATTGATGTCGTGATATTATGGACCATGAACTCAAAAATTTATATTCGAAGAGTTCATCTTACTCACGACGATGTGATGTATGGATATTACTTGAAAAACAAATACATATACTACTTACTTATTACCTATCTATTCTGTCTGCTTTGGTACCTAGGGACAGTAGGGACTTCTTGCATACCGAGAGGTATATCCGTGTTTTATTACAAATATGATTTGTAATTTTTTACCTGTTATTGAATGTTATGGAAGTTCAAGAACCTAATAAATAAAATGAATACATAGGTATAAGATATAGATATTATCTACATTCAGATTCAGAAACATTTTAGTTTTCGCGCAGATAATCCTTTAGCCCCCTACAAGTTTCAGCAGAGTACATGGTGAGTATTATGGTGGGGAGATGTGGAGGCGCCGCGAGGGGCCCGCGCTGCCGCCGCCGCCGCCGCCGCCGCCCGTCGTGTCCTCGAACCTGACCGCGCGCGCTCGCCTTGAACCCATCGTGGTCGGCTCTTGCGCCGGCCGATGGTCGGCGCTTATACACGAGTCAGAGTCACGGAAACTCAACGTCTCGGAAAATTGTTAAGTTGATGTCATGTATTGGATGATTTTTATATGCATTTAATATTATAAAGAATATTAAAATATTGTTCGAATCATTCGCTTTTGAACAAGTTACTACTAAAGATTACGAACTACAAAAGATTTCATTATCTACCTATATAAAGTCTTTAGAAATATATTTGGCGCGAAAAATGCGCAATGAATTAATATTGCGCGCGCAGCCTCGATACTAAAGCATTTGGGTGGGGTTCAGTATTGATTGCTGCGCGAGTTCGTCCCCTCACGTCGGGTTTCTCGAAGTTGCCTGTTCAAATTGGGGAGGGAAACTGAAATATTTCTGCTCAACTTTATAGTTGGGTATGAAGGTGTTTATGTAGGTAAAATAGTAGGTACGTCTAGACCAGAAAATGAACAGCAAACAATTTAGATGCAGTCAAGAATGTTTAAAATTGGTCTAGTTTTATAAAAAAAAATACCATATAAGGTGGATAGACTGGTAGTAGCGTTCATGAAAGATTTTTATCATTTTGAAAGTATTAACTTGCCTACATACATATTATTAACTTTTGCACAACATTGTGCGGCGGAACAGACAGATGGCACAAAGGTCAACGGCCTCGGTGTAAATTACTGACTCAACTATCTATGAATAGGAATCTAGGTAGGTATTACGTATATACCTACCCAGTTTTCCAAACAGTAAGTTTTTGTGTTTGACGTTTGCTTACAGCCTTACAGCAGATTTGAATATTCCCTTCTTAGGTAGGTAAAAAGACTTCGTGTTAGGTAAGATGGACAAGTTACCTTAGCAGAATTAATGAGCTATCTGAATCAAAAGTAACGAAAAGCATTGTCTATAAATTCTGACTAGGTACCTATACCTATCAGTGATACAAATACTAATAGTAACTTGTACGAGGCAAAGGCCTGTTGACTCGGCAATAAAACCAAGATAGATTGAAGGTTAGCAGTCCATAGGTATTCAGGGAAATAGAAAGTAATCGTGTACACACTTAACGACATGGTATCGATACGGATAGTAGACCGTATGATAACTATTGTCTTTCCGTTTGTACAAAATAGGTCACTCATATTATAATAACCCATTAGTTAAGCACTAATCCCTGAAGATAGGAATTAAATTAAGTAAAGGAAGTGATTGAACAATATTCTTATGTTTTACCAGTATGCAGTTTAATTTTCGAACAGCGTGCACCAGGTAAGAAAATATGTACCTACAAAATAAAGATAAGACAGGTAGGTACTTTTTGTACATATTTACCCATAGTCTATGACCAATGAATTTTTTTTTGTGTACGTATCTACTAGAGTGAATAGGATATATAAAGCGAAGGAGGTAGGTAGGTATATTTTGTAAGTATCATTCATCAGATACTATTATTATTTATTATACCTACATAATTTATATTGTTTATGTAATGGGATAACGACTAATGTTACGTCTTACTGTTATCAGAATATTTCCGAAGGAAAGTTTATTGATAGCGTTAAAAATATTTACTGTCAATAGTTGCATCTTGTTTATATCTACGTAGAAATACATTGATAAACTCTGTGCATTGATAGGTTGCAGTAAAACGCTCCGCCTCGCCCGTCTCGCCGAGTGCACTACAGCGGGCACACACACACACGTGCAAGATGCAATACCACACCGATACGTGCATTCACAACTACAAGAGCACGTTGCACTCATTGTTCAACGTTTTGAAATTCTCGCTCGCTCAAAACCGGCCGTGGGAACAAATTGCTTCGTGGATTTCTTTACGTTATACCTATTACCATTATACAATAACAAAAAAATTTAAAGATGATTTATTGATATGCAGACATTATTATTACCTACCTGGTTCCTAAATAATATTTTTTTCTTTACGCTTCTTAAAATTAAGATTAATTATTATTTAGCATTATTTAGGTGGGTATATTATTATTACTAACAGTACTACCCATCGGAAGTTTTGTAACGAACGAACATTTAAAAAATTATTTAATATCAGAATTGTAGTTACGACAGTCCTAACTATTTACATAGGTAATTAAACGACGATTACGTGCTCAATTACTTAATTTACAATGACACGATTTAACTAACTAGGCAATTAATTAGGTATTTTATACAACTAGAATTTAAATATTACAAAATGACCCGTAAAAATACCTAATAATAATAATTTAAGAGTATCTATTTAGGTACCAAATCCCGTCTCGTAGGTGTAAAACAAAATAGACAGTCCTATATGTACAAAGTACCTTCGTACTGTAAATAGAACAGGAATACAGGTACCTACCTATAATTACGTTACGAATATTATACCTATTATGACTACAATTTTACAACCGTCTCACGTCTGTATGTTGTGTAGTTCATTGAAAACCAATTGCCGCGTTTTTTAACAGCCAATTGGAAAAATGTTATCACACCTCCGTTATAAACATTAGCTATCTAATCAAAAACATATTTTTAAAAACACAAATACAAAACGAACAAAATAATAATTTATAACGTAGTCGTTATCAACAAGACATTGTAGAATGGTGAGTGAAGGAGACAGAACATAAAATAATGAACGTCCGTTATTGTTAGTTCCGAAAAAAAAAAAATGTTTTTGTATTGTAGAATTGTAAATAGTTTAGTAGTCTATTAGATTTATTTCGAAGTTATTAAATTATGATTATTTAATCGATCATTTCACAGACATTACCTAATCAATTAAGTAGGTATTTGGTACGAGATTATTACTTCGTCCATGTGTGAAAGAGTTGGCACGATTTCCCGCCACTTTGATAAAGTGCCTACGAACCTAACACAAAACTGATAGAATTGGGATTAGACCTGGGAATTTTTATTTTACTACTATAATGTCAGCATATTTCGTTACAATGATGACAAAAATATTGATAAATGACATGAAAAAGAGCGGGACATGTTAACTCGTTGGACTTTCCCACTGCAAATCCTTGTTTTTCGTATTAAAATGTATTATATCCTAAAAGTAGAATACCAAAAGCACTTACCGAATATTTACTGTTATAAATATCCTTTAGTTCTATAGAATAATCCTGAATTTCACACATTTACGCTTTTAAAGTCATTAGATTGACAGATATACACCACTCACTCCTTACAAAAACCACAATCTGTTTTACTATTCTGTGAAAAGGTACACAAAGAATGGTCTTCTTTCCTATTGGACAGCTAAGCCCACGTGACTAATCGCAAACGACTTCTATTGGCTGATGCGTCAAAGTGAATTGACGTCACTGCTCAATAGGAATACTAATAGTTTTGTACTTGCTTAAATATACTAATAGAAAATTTTATGCACATTATAATTTGTATTTTTATTTAACACAACTAGGTTTAGTCATGAAACTTGTTTTTGAGAAACTTACCAATTCACTTACCGGTTACATGGGTCGCCCATTCACAACAACATGGCGGTTTGTTTACACCGGCATGATAAGGCGGGAAGTACTTCTGCCGTGTATGTAACTTTTTACTGGTAAAAGTTTATGTTAAAATAATGATTTCATTTTAAAGAATATTTTTATTGAAGTAAATAATTAAATGTCCAAAACTAAGTAAATATAAATGGAAACCGAAGGCACATGGGCGATACCACTTTAGTCCGACGCCAGCGCCCTCTAGTGGCTCCTACAAAACCTTGGCGGTAACTTTAAAAATAATAAAATTCAAAATCATTCAATCATTCGTAGTTTATGTTATGAACTAGAAAAACGTAATTTTGTTTTTAATTGTTGATACTTTCGAACATCGATTTAAAACAAAGCATCGTACATGAAAATATCAACTACATAAATGCTCACATTTTAGTAGCCGTTTTCACAAAGTTCTGACCCAGGCATCTAAAATACTTAACTAATACAAGTAAAATTATAAATAACATAAACAGTAAAGTATTGTCAAAAACAAGCATAAGGTCAACAATGCTAATTAAACAATTACATACAATTTTCAATCAACAATACAAGTTAAAAATACAAACGATTATGGAAAAGGACTTACACAATATTTTCTATATTCTATGTACCTAGTAATATCATAAAAAAGAAAGCAGTCCACAACAAATTAACGACTTTTGGCAGTTTTCAATTTATAACAATGCAATATTAACAAGTTCATAAAGATTAACAATAAGAGACATTACAGCCAAACAATAATGAGTAGACCATTAAATCAGGAACTAAGTACTAAATTACACTGGGAAAGGCGGTATAATGGCAACATCCTTTGTCACACCTCCATTGCAGATTGTTAAAATTTCGATATTTTTATATTTCTTTGTCTTTTATACAGCTCAAATGTACCTAGTTTCTTTATTCTTTTCTTATTGAGGTAATCATTTTTAAAGTTGGGTAGGCCGGTAGACTGAGCAACAAATTGTGTTTCACGAGAAATTAAACTAACTTTGAAATTAGTAGTAAAACCACTGTCTGATGTTGAGGCAGTTGGTATAAATGGCAAAACTTTTGGTTTTTTGATGGAAGGTCTAATGTTTTTGCCATTGTCATTATCATTCAAATATATACTTTCTTCTAAATAATTTGATGGTTTATTTCTTCTCTTCTTCGTTTCTTCCACAACAAATGAAGATGTAGACGTCACATTTGGTTTCTTCGTTTTAGAATCCTTTGCGAGTTTTTCGTCAAGGTGTTTCAATACATCAGCAGACAGTCGTGGAATGTGAATTTTATCAAATGAATTTTGTTTAAGAACCTGGCAAAAAAGAAACAAATATTAGAAACAATAATGTTTGAATAAATTATACAGTTAAATATCGCGTGTTGCTTACGAGTAACCCGCGATTATTACTTAATTTAGTATGTCTCACCATAGTTATTATAAAAAATACAGAATGTTAATTAAATATAGTAATAAAATAAAATAATAACCTTTGATTGTTTAGTAGAATCATCGTCATCCCTTTCTTTTCGTTTCTTGTTTTTCTTGGTGCCATCTGAAAATAAATTGTTAATGTAAATATTCCATGTACTTATAAGTGAATGAGAGAATCAGAAAAATAAGTATGTATATGAGAAATATCAAGCAAAATGGCTCATACCATTACTTATGTCCACTTCTTGTTGTTGTACCACTATCCTTTTAGTTTTAGTATTATCATCGGTCATTTGTGTTTCAATAACAGGACCTAAAATTTAATAAGAGTTTAAAATTTGTAATGTTTTAGCTTCACACTCATTTTTTCAATATCTTTATTGCGCGCCATATTGTTATTACATCACATGAATGTCTTAAATACACTACCTACACATTAAGAAGTTACAAAATGAACAGAGTAGTGTATAAAAAGTATCATAACTAAGCATATTGCCGTTTTGTACGACTAAAGCTAAATTTTATTCTGTTAATTTCGATAGCAACAAAAAAAGTTTAGAAATATTTGCAATCAAATCTTACCAGCTAGTTGGTTGTCTTCATCATTATTAGAAATTTTTCGTTTCTTCTTTTGATTCTTTTTTGTCACTGATTCGTCTAGATTAACTTTTACATCATCTGAAAATAATAAAAATATTAAAATCCAATTTGTACATGACTCTGCGTTTTACATGAGCAGAAATCTGGCGTGAAACATGTAAAACTTGTTACGAAAAACTAACAGCTCGTGTGTCGAGTGCGACTAGCAAGTGCGATTGTGAATATGATTTATTTCTTAGCACTCCGGTTTTGGAAAATTCTCAGTAATAGGATCATCTTGCAAAAATAGGTGTTACATTGATTAAGTGCCATAGTACAGGCCTAGTACAGGTTCATCTCCCTCAGGGAATAAAAACGTGGTGATATTTTACAAAGCAATTAACTAACCTTTGATAACTATTTCTTCAATAGTTTGATTGTGTGAAGATTTACGTTTGCGTTTCTTTATAATCTGCTCCTGACCATTTTCATCTACATTATCTGAAAAAATAATAATTAATGTAGGAATCTACTAAAAGCATATCATAAATTATGAATTAAATTACATTGGCCTGATTTATTTTAAGTTAGTGTTAAAATAATTGATGAATATAATTAATCTGTTTTTTTTTCATTTTGTCTTTGTAAAATAATTGTTTTATTGCCCATACCTTCATTGTCATTGTCATTACTTTGTTCAGCTTCAGTCACTTGTGGAATAGAATTTAGCTTCTTATTCTTGCCACTGTCCAAAGAAATATTTTGCTCTGTTTCTTCTGCGACTTTAATTTCTGCAAATTAAAAAATATCATCTTTTTAGTACTTAGATCACATGTGTAAAATATATGCTAACTATGACCATTGGTTAATATACAAGTTAATATGCGACTATGGAATATTTTGAGTATCATTCTTTTAGCTAATATTTGGTGTTATGTTAGGCATTTGGAAATTGATTTAAATATAGTAAAAAAAAAAACAAAATAAAATATAGATACCTATTTCCTGATCTATTAGGGATTCCGATAACTTCTTCTTCTTCTTTTTAGCACTTCCATCCATACTGATAATAGAAATGTTAGCAGGCTTTTCTGTTACTTTTTCTGTAATAATAAAAAAAAAATATGAACAAAAAGATAAGATAGTCAGATAAAAAATGTTGCAGATGTCCAAGGATGGCGCCGAGAGCTTAACATCAAGAGATGTCTGCTTGGTTGACTGTTAAAAATAACACATGAGTAGTATAAATAAACATACCTGCATTTTCAACAATACTGATATCTGTCACATTTTGAGAACTGTTCAATCCTTTCTTGTTCTTCTTATTCTTCTTTTTGCCACTGCTATGGGATTCATCTGCTTCATTATCTGCTTCATTGTTTTGAGTTACGTTTAAGTCTTGCCTGGATTTGTTTTTCTCACTGCGATATGAAACTTCCAACGGCGCATCATTAGAATCCTCTGAAAAATTTGACAATATTTTGGTATCGAGAATAGTGAGATAATTATAAATCTATAAGACACATTAACATTGTTCCTCTGTATGAAAATAGTCTATCTCAGATTATGTCAATTACAGTACAAAATAACTGATTGAATAGAGTAGGACTAGGGAAACTGAGACTATTATAGCTGTAATGAATATTGTGTAAGCAAATTAGCATACATACCATCAACTAAAGCATCTGCTATGTCGGCGAAGGAAACATTATTTTGTTTATTCTTCTTTGCACTGTTCTTGATTGAAATGTTGGCGTCATTCTTAGTCTCATCAGCATGAGTGCCAGTTGTGTCTATAAAGAAGCCTAGAGTCTCTTCTTCTTGAGAACCTAGAAAGATATATTAACGAATTAATGTTTAAAGTAGTTGTTACTTGTGGCTGTGCCCCACATGACCCAGGACAAAAATATGAATGTGATTATGTATTTTCTCCAACCTCAGGGTTATTAAATAGTGTACCATATAAAATCGCTCCAAAGCGACCTCGCTTTATCACCTGATATACAAATAAAATGGAATGTAATAAAATTTTACAACAGTATTGAATTGTTAGCATTGTAGAAATAGGGAATATTGTAGTACCACTGTTAAATAACTTACTCATTGCTGATGTTTCTTCCGCCTGAGATGATTTGCGTTTATTCTTCTTCTCTTTGCTGCTTATATTCAATAAAGACTCATTCTTTGACTTGTTGCCAACATCTGGAAAATTTGATTAAAAAATGAACACTTGTATAAACATGTGTTATTGAAACACTGAATCTTTTTAGTGCATGTAGTATTCAAAATTCTGCACATTCGAAGGTACTATGTAAAATAATTAAATTAAAATTCATTGATATTCAAATCAGTTGTACAAAACAGTGTGTTCAATTTTGAAATGCTAGTGAATCTAATAAATATTTTATTGATAGTAAAGTGATTTTAAATTCTGTTTTTGTGAAGTGTAAGTGCAAATAAGGTGAAAGTTTTAAAACCAGACTAGATGATTGAACAATTAACAGGAATATAAAAATATACAGAATATAACATACCAGTATCTTCAAAAATGTTGGTTTTCGCTTCAGTTCTCTTCAGAGGTATGAATTCATCAACAACTTGGTCATCATCCTTTTGAGCAAGACTTGTATTCTTTTTCTTACTTGTCACTAACTCGCTGTCATTACTTTCCTCATTGAATAATAGTTTCATGTCAATAGAATCAGATGAACCTTCAGATAATGCAGTGACTTCTATATTAACTTTATTTATACTTTTGTTCAAAGACTTGTTCTGTTTCTTATTTTCTGTAGCATTTTCACCAGAATCTGCTTTCTTTTTGTTAGATTTCTTAACTTGTGTAAGATTAAGTTGGTCTACAATAGGCTCTTTAGACTTTTTCTTTGTCTTTTTATTAAGGTCCAAAGAAATGTCCGCGTTTTTAACCTTTTTAGGAATCGATTTGTTCAGATTGTTAAGAATTGATGTATAATTTCGAGTTATCTCTTCATTTTCACTAATTGAGTCATCGTCAGTAGCATCTTCGTCATCCTGTGCAATAGTTGCTTGCAGTGGATCGGAAGTTTGATTAGCTTTTATCATCGAAACATCTTCATCAACATTCACTTCTTCAACCTCATCCATATCAGTTACAGCTACCGTTGTAATCTCCAGCTCTTTCTGGGGAGTTTTAGGCTCAACTTTAACAACATTACGCAATGTCAAAGGATCAGTTTCAATACTTTGGCTTGCTTCATTAATTGTTATTTCTTTTTCATTTGTTGTATTATCATCAGATTCTGATAAGCGTTTAGCTTTCTTCTTTATAGATTTATCAGCATCTGATTTTACACTGATATCTTGACTAGAATCGATTCTTTGACGCCTATTTTTCTTAGGTTGTGCGGTAACTTCCTCTTCTGACTCTGACGAAGATGAATCTAGACGCTGGCGGTTATTTTTCTTCGATTTAGCCTTCGTGGATTTGGCACTCTTATCAGACTCATTTAATTTATGTCTTGCTTCAAACATTTCTCTAGAAGCTTTCTTCTGTTCTTTTATTTTGTGTTCATTAAACTTCTTTTTCGATTTTGCGCTCATTGTTAGCTCATCAGCACTCATAGACAGATCATCGCCGGAGCCACTAAGCAAATTATTATCCTCCTCGTCAGAAGTCACAACAAACGAATCTATTTCGTAGTTAGAGTTATCAGAATATTCCTCTTCATCTGAATCAAGAGTTTCGCCTTTTTCTACTATTTCATTTTGCTCCTCATAATCTCTTTCCTCCTCGTCCCTACTGTCACCGGATTCGTAGTCATCACTGGCTTCTTCAGCTTCGTCATCAATCATTTTACTCTTTTTCAATGACGATTCTTCTTCCGACTCATCTTCTGAACCATCTTCTTCCTCCAATTCATTTTCTGAATTTTCTTCTTCAGACGATTCATCTTCTTTTTGCTGTGACATAATAGATACTTCTTTCTTTGACTTGTTAGGAGTATCTTTTTTGTCAGCCTTAGTTGTGCTATTGGGAGCAATAATTGAACTGTTTATTTGCAAGCCTAATTTTTTAAGTGACTTTTGTTGGAGAGGAGTGCTTGTTGAGTAAGTTAGTGACAGATTCTTCTTATCAGCCTCTTTCTCTGTATTAGTATTTGGCACATTAACAGACTTGGATAATTGTTCACTCGATTCATTTTTGTCTTTAGGAATACTAGTTTCTAAGTTTTCGTTTTCTGAAATATCTTTCAGTTGGGATAGCACAAGAGTACTTTTAGCACTTTCAGATTTATCCAAAAGTGATTTGTTCTTGGTTTTATCAGAACTCTTATTCATACTCTCATTGTTAGCGACATTACAAATTGACGATTTCCTTTTAGACTTGTTAATGCTTTTGTTAATTATTTCATCGTCATTACAGGAATCTGACAATGAAGTTTTTGGACCATTGACACTTACTTCTGCAACCACAGCAGACACTGAAGATTTCTTTCTGGATTTATTTAGGCTCATGTCAACATCATCGCCAGTGGTTAGGTTCAAGATTGCGGATTTTCTAGTAGACTTGTTACTTGTATTGGAATCTTCCTCTATATTGTTTTCAGTTTCCATGGCTGCCACTGAAAACTTTCTCTTGGATTTATTTAAACTTTTGTCCAAATTATCATTGACCATGTCAGAGACTGATGATTTTCTTATAGATTTATTCATTCCTTTGTTTACACTTTCATTGTTAGATGCTTCTGGGTTTAGAGACTTTCTAACAGACTTGTTGACATCTTCATCTGCATTGTTTTCAGTTACATTGTTTGATATGGAAGACTTTCTCTTGGATTTGTTTGATTTATTGAGGATACTATCATCTTGAGTGTCCATGTCTACCACTAAAGATTTACGACTCACGTCCTGTGAACCACTGTCTGGCGTATCTTCAGAAACTACATGAGACATAGACGATTTTCTTTTTGATTTATTAGTATCTGTAACATCAACATTAACTATTTCGGACATAGAATTTCTTTGTGATTTGGACCCGCCAGTAACACTATCTTCTGTAGCTATACTTGATAACACAGATTTTCTTTTTGACTTATTGAGACTGACATTTGGATTTTGAGAATTGTCTGAAATTGATTTTCTGCTTTCCTTTATATTTATAGAATCATTTCTCTCAGTAAAGGTAGAAAGTGATACATTTTCTGGCATAGTTTCATCAATGTCCATTGGTTCATAACTGAGATTACTTTCTGGCACATTAGCTGTTTCTTCCTTTTCTAAATGATGGTCGACTACTGGAACCAACTGATCTTCACTGTTGACACTCTCTTTTCCCATACTATCATGATTAGAGTCTGAGTCGTCAATAAATACCAACGACTGTACAGTACCACTTGGAGCGTTTTCAAAGAACTTCTGAGCATTACTAGAGTCTAATTTTTGTGACGAATTTAAACTATCAATTTCTTCATCAACATTTTTAGATACTTCTTTAGTATCTAATTTTGCTGATGATTTATTTAAAGATTTGTTTACTGCAGAAATTTCATTTACAGATGTTTCTGTTTCTTCATTCATTGACATTTCATTTCGTTTTTTCTTTTTCTTGTTAGAGAGAGTTGATGTATTTAATGACACATTTTCTTTACCCTTACTTGTGTTCATCACACCATCACCAGATCCTGTTATGATAGATACATTGAGACTGTCATTCTTATTTTTGTTTTTCTTTTTGGTAGCTTCACTGTCACTGCAGAAGCTATTTTCATGATTGGATTCAACAGAGATTGTAGTCCATGATTTGGTTCTGTTCCTTTTATTACTTTTGAGTTGTGGTTCTTCAATTGCTATTGTGGTTTTGTTAAGGTCATTTTTGGTTTTTTTGGGCACTTCTTCCAGTTTTTCTATGAGATTCTTGCTGGCCAGGGATATGTTAATTTTTTCTGATGTCGTCTGGTCTGTAGTTTCATTTTTTTGTTCAGCTTCTGGTTCTGATACAGATTTGTCGGCTTCATCAGTTGTTGGGCTTGTCACTTTATCATTTTGTAATTCATGTTCTTTGTTTTCGGTGTCTATGGAGGTGCTCTTTCTGCCTTTTCCAACAAGTCGTGGGCTTTTCCTGATTGGTGATTCTGTTTTAGATTTATCACCAACAGATTCAGTTTTTGATTTTTCAGTTACACTAGAGTCTTTGACATTATTCTCTGCTTCTTCTACAATGACGTCGGTGATTTGAGTATCCAATTTACCAGCAGGTTCAACTGAAATTGACAATTAAATAGGATGACAAGCAATAATAAATAACTTGGAATTTAGTTACTTTATGGTTAACCCGCATATCCCCAAGCGCTCTCCACTAACTACATGCATTATAGACCTTATTTCCAATGTTTAGAGACTGCTTTTGTATGAACAAATTTAGGGGATGATTTTCAACAATTTTCAAGGGGTTAGAACAAGTAAAACTTAGAAAAATCATATACAAATATTACAGTTTGTGAAGTTGTATGGATATTTGTTAAAACTGTACTAAAATTTGTTGGAAATAAGCAACCAAAAACGCATCTGAATAAAATAAGCATGTAGCTTCTTTTATTTTTATTTGCGTTACATGGCAAATCAAGAGAAGTTACAATTATTTAGTAGGGATTTATGTATGTTAATTAATATAATCGGAGATTATTTAATAGCATTATTATATTTACCTGGCTTGTCAATGCTAGAGGTAGAGTCTTTCCTAGTTCTTCTTGTCTGTCTAGCTGGAGTGACTGGGGCTTCATTGTCACTGCCTGAAAATGTAAAGTTATTATATAGATTATTGAGGTTCAAAGAAGGATTTTGCATTACAGACATTTCAGCTAAAATAAATAATTAAAGTTTTGTTCATAGCAAACAAAGATTTTGCTAGAGTCTGTTGATGTGCAAGATGTTTAAACAAAATAAATTATAGAAAGGAGCAATCTGATAAAGTGTATCATCAAAATTACATTGCTAAATCAATTTAACAGTCACCAGTCTTTTCAGACATGTTTGTCAGTTAAGGGTTTTTTAATTTAGTCCTTCTTTAATCTATCGCCAATCTCGGCAACGTATGTCCGTCTAGGGCGCCCTTTACTTCTAGCAAAATAGGTATGTCAATATCTAAATATCTTACCAGCCAAAGAAGTCCTCCTAGCGGCCCTTTTAGCTCTGGGTGAGTTAACATTTTGAACAGTCTCAGCAATAATGCTGGTATTAGATTTTATTCTAGTACTGCGTCTAGATGGGGTTCCCTTGTCTTCAGCAACATCTGGAGTCTCAGATACTATGCTGGTGTTTGATCTGATTCTAGTACTGCGCCTTGAAGGTGTTACTGCTTTCTCTTCAACTGGTTCAGCTATGGACTTTCTGGTCCGCTTAGGGACTGCTTCTGGAGCTGGAATTTTAGTGAGGTGACTTTGAAATGTGGTTTTATATTTTACTTTTTGCTCAAGCCAAATAAAAACATTGTCATAGCAAATGATTACAACTGTTACAAAGTGTTAAGAAGTTAAGAAGAATGTTTAAGTTATATTACATAAGCACAGACGTTATATTACATTACATAAGACATGTTGAATGTGGTTTTGATTTAACTGATAAGATATAGTGCACTCAGCACTACATGTGGACAATATTATATAGTTAGTTCAACCATCATCTAAGAAATATTTTTAGTCAATTACAATTGGACGTAGTTACACGAAAAGGATCCAATCCACACAAAGTCACTTTGGAGATATTGACGTTTGAAGTTTGGAATATATTTCTTCATAGGTATTCATTTTAAAATTAACTGAAAGTATGATGTTGTGTGTGGAATAATAACACTTTATTATTGTTAATAGCATATTCAAGCTTGGTATTGAATTTTGCAAGTTATATGTAAATTTATACGGTTGGATCCTTTTCGTTAAATTACATTTTCCATAGCGTATGCTCTAGTCTTAATTTCGTTAAAACGCCCCAAGTAATAAATTGTGTATAAAAACCTTTTCCATGAACTAAAATACATTTATTTTATTTTGATTAAACCTTAACCTTGAACATGGCAACACAAACATCTCAAAATCAACAAAACAAAATCTCAAAATCAACATAACAACCTCTCAAAACTTGCCTTATATTTTTGTAGATATGAACGTTTGAAGTTTGAAAGATATTTCTTCATTGGTTTTCTTTTAAAAAATATTGAAAGCATGATGTTGTGTGTGAAATAATAAAACTTTTTTATTGTTAATAGTACAATCAAGCGTATTATTGTATTTTCCGAGTTATATTTAAATTTATATGGTTGGATCCTTTTCGTTAAATTACATTTTCCATAGCGCATGCTCTAGTCTTAATTTCGTTAAAACGCCCCAAGTAATAAATTATGTATGAAAAAGCTATTCCATGAAATAAACGTTTATTTTGTTTTAATAATTTTAATTAAACCTTAATCTTAAATATAGCAACACAAACATCTCAAAATCAACAAAACAAAATCTCAAAACCAACAAAACAACTTCTCAAATTTTGCATTATATTTCAATTATCATAACTTTACCTTAATCAGCTTTCAGTCTTCCATTTTCTTTAGTATAAAGAAAAAGATTAAAAAATATTGATGTCATCTAGATCAATATAGAGAGGACACCTGTTTACATACATATATTGACACAATACACTTGAACAAAATAAAATAAAACTCTAAAAAATAACAAAGTCAAAAATAATCCAAACTCCTTGATTCGTTTTACTTAATCGGTTGGTAATACTGGTCATGATCCATGAAGGTTGGATTGTTCAAGGTGATTTTTTTTATTAACGTGCCATACAAGTGGGTTGGTTCTGGGGTTGATAAAATGTATTAAACACATGTTTTTGCTTGGGTCTTTTTTACTGGCCGATGGTTTTAATATTTAGCATCAGTTTGGTATGTTTAACTCATTTTTGACCAGGTTGTGGATTGGATCCTTTTCGTGTAACTACGTCCAATTCTAATAGAGATTTTAATTAGAGTTGTAGTGTTTCACAACAATACTAGGCATTTTAAACTTTACACAATTGCAGTAGTTTGATTTTTATATTATTGTCACACAGCTTATGTTACCATTCTCAGCAATTAGTTCCAGCTGTGGCTTGGCAGCTAGTCTTCCACCTCTCTTCTTGGTTGGTGTAGATTGTGAAGGAGACTTGACATCTTCAGCCTCAACAGATAATCTGCGTCTCAATCTTGTCACTGAAATACATTAACATCCCATAAGTCTTAGTAGGTATTTATAGAGCATTTAATTATTTAGTCTTACAAATAGACAAATTAACTAGTAACTATAGTGTATTGTAATATCTTAAGTAATAGAAGCATTCATAAAAATTCACACAAATAAGAAATGAGATAAAATACAAGTAAAAATGGAGTCTTAATAAGATTTGTTTCAACTTTTTTATGGAACATTTATTTTCCTAATAATGGAATCTTATACTAGGCTTATTATAGCAATGGAAACAATTGACTCCAGGCTACTACATATAAAAGTCAACCATTATCGCACAGTTACTAGAAAAGTTTTACATCAAATTAAACTTCCAAGTTTCTTTGTCCATTCAAACATGCGCGTTACGTGGCTCTTTTATGCGACAATCGATTTATTATACTCTTGGAACATTATTGTTTTAATAAGTAGTCAGATAGTCTCAGAAACCTAACAGAAGGACCTGGTAATGTTATGAAATAACGTCGCAATACTCAATTTCGTCGCTTACGAAGAATAGCAAAAAACGCCATTGCAGCATGTGGCCACATACATACTTAGTCATAGAAAGTATAACTTCAATTATATATAGAATACTATTCCATTACAATACCAATAAAGTTCCAGAATGCTTTCAAATCACCGGTAGCGTGATGCTCTTATCACAAAACTAGCGTACCATGCTTCCACGCCACATTTATTGGTTGTAAAGTTATAAAATTTACCTTTAATGCCGACTTCTTCTTCCATTTTAAACACTTTTACACCATGAACGATTCTTTTTCAAATTAAGTTAAAGACACGTGCAAACAAGCTCAACCGATTTTAAAATCGTGCTTTTTCGAGGCAAATGGTAAAACAGCTGTTAGGACGCGGCGAACTGTCAAATCAAATTCGACGCGTGCTTTTACTATGGCAACACAGCTGTTTCCGCCAGATAAGGACGTACCTAAAGCTAATAGTTATTTTTCCGGTTTTTCGTTATATGAAATATTACTAATTACTAAATAGAAAATAAACTGATATTCTCGGTAGGATTAACAATTTTTAGGTATTTTATTTATTTTATTAACTTTCATATTAAGTTAATAATGAATTTTGACCCTGATTCGGATATTTATAAAAAAATATTAGAATTATGTCCTATTAATAAACCAAATTAAGTTGTATTGCAATTATAAAATATGGCATATTTATCTAAACACCTTGGCTTATAATAGGCTCCTACCTGGGCCAGCAGTTCCGTTATTGATAACGACACAAATCGGCAAACCCTAAGCTTATGTATTAAGATACAAATATATGAATAAAACCTCAGTTTTAGACCATTACTGACTGTTGTTAAAAAAAAGTCGACAGTGCAGTATCGTAGGAGGCAGTTGCAGAGCAATATCTATCTTAAAGTTGTTTTTTGCGAAGATGTCTTGGAGGAGGCTGATCGGAAAGGGAGAGGGAGGGAGGTCATGACTTCTCTTCACACCCGCAGCAAGAGTGTAAAAGGCCAGAAGCTGCAGTTATAACTTTCTAAATTGGTCCAGGAACGTCAACCCGTTCACAAGTGCCACGGTCCACGTCTGCCTCCTTCTGCGAGGGAGAACTACACTTCTTTCCATCGTACATCTCGCGTTGGGGCTTTCTTAGGTACCTAACGCTACAACTGTGGCGTCGCGGGTGCATTTGATTCCTGGACCATTATGTTCACGTACTAGACGGGATATCGGGTGGTTTTTAGTTAGTAGGTGTCCACCTTTCTGGAGGAGGAAAGAACATCTCTTGCTGCGGTGATTGTTTACATCCGTCGGCTTATTTACTTTCTTATCTTAGGTATAAAAAAGCTTTTTAGATGTCCTAAATGCTTCGAATGATCTTGTAAAACCTTTCCTACAGTCTGGTAAAAAGGAATCACCTACCTAAATATTGGGTTCCAATCTGCTGGGGATTAAATTTTAATTCCACAATTATATAGCAAGGGTCTGGAATTTTGCCTGATCACCTAATGTATGGTAACAAGTTCACCTCCTATTACATTAAACTAATAACATTACTAGTGGGAAATGGGTGTTAAATTGTATAGACAGCACCTCTACCTACTCCTTAGGCGATTATACGGCGTGATGTTAAGCTTGATCTTGTAAAAAGTACAATTAACTAGAATTAGTAGAACAGTAATTGCTTCCATTAGCACTTAAGAACCACGAACCATGGTGTCACTGGTAATAATACGTACAATTGAAAATATTAAAAGCATCGAGAATTCCATTAGTTTTTCCGAGTTGACAGCGAATAGCAGCAAACTCCGCCCTGCGTTAGGGTTAAGTGGGTCCGCACTTAAAAAGACATCAAGGGTACAGAAATGGCATTATATCTTCCTGATGACCCTCTTCAGAAATTACGTTCAACGATGTTAACCCCATTTCTCTCTAGGGACGTCCGAACACCCTCGAAGGGAAATTCTGTTGGACGCGACAGGACAGATAGGTGTGACATTGATTGCTGATAATTAACTATGTACTTCATGTAAAGTATTCATAGATGTTATCTTCTGAATGCATCTATTATCTACCTACTTGAGTATATTCGTAATCGAAGTAGATAACAAACAGTAAATTGTACTTATCTTAAAATATACTTAGTTATATTTTACCTAGCTAGGTATTTAAGGTATCTGGTCGATCAAATGATCAAAAATTGCTGAGAAATAAAAATAACGGTAAAGTAAAAAGCAATGTTTGGAATTTCAGTAAAAATTCTACGAATTCTTTAACAATATTTTTTGTCATCTAAACAAGATCCGTTACTCGGACAAAAGTGAGCATTTAGGAACTCTAGGCCAATTTTTAACATAACATAACATAAAATCATGCGTTTTTATCCCCTAAGGATAAGGCAGAGTTGCACATTTCGGCTAAATGCCACTGTCCAATTTTTAAATTATGAGTAAATTTTTATGGGTATAATAAAATTTGACTTGTTAAAATTTTGACAGTTTTTAGTATGGAAAAATGTCAAAAGCTCAAGGTTATTCCTCAGTTAAAATTTATTTGGCGTTAGAATAATCGGTCCTAAGTCTTAAGAAATTAATTCGTAGGTAACTTATTCAAGTTTTCCATTAATCCACTTTTCACTCATGGTTGCAACTGGAGCAGGAACATAAATTTCAAGCACCTACAGGTAAAATGGAAATGCTCACAAAGCACTACAATATTATGTGGAGATGATTGCATTTACCTAAGTAATTTAATTTACAAGTTTCATGCAGCCAGTTGGGCATTCAACGAAATATGGAGTACCCAATAAATGGCCATACTTTTTATTTTTGCGGTGAAAAACAGAACTTTTTCATGGACAAAGCGAAGGGGCACAATGGGAGGAGGAACGGTGCTACCGAGATCAGGCATTTTCATGGAACAAAACCAGTTTTGTAGTCTCCAACCGTGGTCGGACTTTATTGCAGCTACGGATTTTACAGTTCGAAGTTGCTGGCTAATTTCAGTTCTGATTAAAGAGCTTCTTTACAAACTTAGCAAATGTACGAAACAACACCGCCGTATTAAATAGCCTGGACAAAGTTTCTTCAATCGCATTGTTTAGTTTTTTCGTTTGGTAAAATTCAGAGTAGGTAGTAGGTATTTACCTAATTTATTAGGTAGGTACTTTTTCTCTTTGCCGGGTTGCCGGGGCTCCGGATCGAAGTGCAGGAGTAATAGGATGGTTTTTAGTAAGAGTCTGACATTTCCTATCGCCTCACCCGGGCGAGAGAAGTCATTGGATGACTTTACCCCTCAAAAAAAAGGTACTATTTCTCTGTAATCGTGCCCATCAAAGGCTTTCAAGTATAAAGACTCATATTATATATATTATCATATTCCAAGAATATGAACCTAATAACAAAGGAAAACTGGGTAATCGAGTATAGTTCAATTCTCAGAACTACAACGAGCTTCCTTATGTTTCTCTCTTCTCTCGGCTCTGTAGCTTACGCCTTAGCACTAAACTGCAGTATGAAGAAAATACGAGTGCCTATGTAGCTTTGTTCTATAGCACAGAATGTATCGACCCAAGTGTAGTACCTATTCTTCGAATACAATACAATGCAATTAAGTTCACTCGAAAAATAGACACAAAACGGCTTTTAATTCTTCGAATCTGCATTTGCTTGGTAGACTAAGTTTTTAGCAAATGGCTAGCTTACCACTTAACTTACATAAGTTCTAATTACTGACGCTATAATGCTGATAGCTCTTGGAGTGCTGCCCAGTTGTTCACACCGGAACATAAAGGTGGTATTCATTGAATTTTCACTTAGTATCTTGACTATTAAGTAGCTATGTCGAAACTGATAGGTTTCTTGAAATGTAACAAATATGGGAAAGATCAAAAGGATGACCAGAGAAAAGATGGACAGGTTGTGGGAAGAGTGGTGTAAAAGAGCATTTGTGATGGAGAGGCATGGAAAAAGAGATATAATGTCATAACTCTAAGAAATTTGGAATAAGAGCAAGAAGAAGCTCAAGATAATTATATACATATCATGTAGTCTTTTGCAAGTATAAATAATATAGTCTTACCTATTTCCAAATCGAACGTTACTACGGACATACTCAATTTCCATTATTGTAATGGTTTCAATTTATTCGATCAAAGGCATTTTATTGCGATGTTTCTATTGATTGCTGGATATAAAATATTTTTGCGTAGTGTTACCCTTTACTTTGATTTATTTGATACGGATCTGACGATATCCATTACCTGATTAAATAAGCATGTTGACCCCAGGTTTGCTTTAAACTCTCGATGTATTGGATTAAAAATATTTTTGTTGCTATCATATTGTGTGCGGTAAATCCGATTGGTTTAATGGAAAGGTACGTTAATGTTATAAGCGTAGATATTGAGTTTTTAATATAAATATAGGTATTGGTTTCATAAAGCTTTATGTTATTAAAATCCTGTGTTGCCTAACTTTAAAAATATGTAGCCTTTATAGTATTTGACATTTACTTATTATAGACTGTACCTATAACACGCGGTTCTGTTTGTAGGCGAAATAATGTAAGTAGAATAAATTGCTTACTTTAGATTTCTAGAAATGAATTACCTTGGCTTTCTCTAAAGGACAAACTAACACACAGAAACATTCATAGCATTGGTATGGATCAGTCTCTTAAATGAAACATGACCCATGTCCATCATATTTGTCTATTATATTTCTCAAATTCGGAAAAGAATTTCGGTAACTTTCTGCATGATTACATTCGGGTCGTTTAATGTCGGAAGTAACCAGTCTGCGAGCTTCGCCGCTGGGACGGAGCGTGGTTCGCTCGACCATGAAATTGCACCGCCGAGTCTCGCTTAAATGACGTGATAATTTACAAGTGTGTTCATCCACACTTCTGTCGTCCCGTAAAGGCGAAACTTTCATATTAATTTTAGCCGTTGAAAACTAGGGACGGTGAAATTTTGTTCGTATGTGTGCGCTTTAAAATACATATTTTGGCGCGTGCAATTTGCTTAGCGTTCATATTGTAGATGGCGTAGTGGGAGACATTTATACCTACAATATTTATATTTATGTACGTGTTTAAACGGAGTGTCTATTCAGAAACGTTTTCAACAACCGTATAAATAAAACTGTAAACGATTTTACTTACTATAGCTACATTGACGCTAATTCTTGCACTTACTTAACTGTGATTGTATAGTAAAATATAATCCATGTTGTAGTGCTATTGATAATGAACCACGACTCACCACGTCGCGGTCTAGCACTTTTAATTGGCACTCCGCATTGTGGTTAATTTGAAGAAGGGGCCTAACGAACCAACCGCCTCTAGTTAGTGGACAGGTAAAGGATTTATCTGCATTTTAAACTATTATTTTACAGCTGACAAGAGAATGAAAAGCC